GTTTTTTTTTTATTATATGTGAGTCAACATTAGACTTAATCGTTTAATAAAGTATCCCATTCTAAGAAAATAGTGAAAAAAGTTTAAGAAGTCGTTGCTAAGATAGAATAAAACTTAATAAAAAAATATTGTAACATTGAGTGTTTTACTCCATATTTGATTGCATCTATAGATGTCAGATAGAATTTTCTAAAATATTTTCTTTGATATATGCCAGTTAACATTAACATATCCAGTAAAGAATTCAATAATTAAACTGAGTTAAAATCTATTTACAATTAAAGAGTTTCAAATATTTTTGAATAAAAGTTTTTACAAATCATTTATATTCGATTTTTCTAAGTACTGGTGCAGTTTGATTAATATATATTCCACGAAAGGTGTACGTCTTTTGAAGTCAGTCGGAGAATTTTTCGCAAGTTTGTCTGATATTTGGTAATATCTTATAATTAAAAGAAAATGCAAATGCTATAATTTTCTTTATACTAGCTAGGAACCTCAAATATTAAATACTTGCAACTGCGTACCAATATTCTTAATTTGGAGAACGTTGACTATACATTTTTATCACACTATCTACTGCCTAAGAAGCTTTTAAAGAGTGTTCCGTTTGAACAAATCACGAATGTATCCATTTTAAAGTTTTGATCTATTGAAAAATTAAATATACACATTTAAGGCTGTATAAAGTGTATATTCTTTATCCGATTCCTTTGGTAAATACCACATATTAGTCGCAGTAGGAAAAATTGGTTTTATTGGTTGTTATAGGTTATCACAAAGATGAATGGGGTGGTTTTCTTGACAACTTCCTAATGTCAAATATGCCCTTTTAGTTTGTTATCCATTTAAATGAGATTGGTAAGAAGTCGGAGATGTCTTCTCATTGCTTTTATGGTAATTGCTGGTTACGTTTATATTGCGCTGTCCATATTTTATTTGGACTATATTAGAGATTATATTGTTTTCTTATATCAACTTATAACTATGGCACTAAAATAATGGTTCAAAAAGTTGTGTGTAATTTTTCATATAAGTCATTGATATTGATGTTTATTGGATAGAGTAGAGCCTCAAATGTAACATTTTGTTTACAGTATCTATTCCAGTAAATAAGGTAAACACGCATTGGATTTACAATAGAGTATTTTCTTTTTTATTAATGCTTTAGGGATAATACCTACATAAGAGAACAATTTTACGAATAAATGTGTGCTGAAGGGCGAACTAATAACAGCGAATGCTGATGATTTTAACACAATGCTTGGGTTTTCATAATTGTTTCTATTGGTCTACGTTGCCAAGTTGGTCTACGTTTGCGTAGTTGGTCTTAACTGATTTATTTAATAAATATTATAGAAATTCAGTGGTGATTTTTCTCGTACTTTTATATCGCATTGTTTATATATAAAATTTTATAAAGTAACCTGAGTTTTGTTATAAACGTCGATTAAATTTATAAAAATTTATTCGTTTTTTAAATTTTAGAAATTAGAAATCGCATATCGCCATAGATATGTATCGCTTAAAAAATTATATTTCGGAACTGAGTAAGGCGTATCCTGGCGTACTTGAAAATATCACGAAAATTTTTGAGGATTATTATGACACAAGGCGCGCATTTACTATATCTCAGCTACAGGGTATGTATAAAACACTAATTGTTATCATAAGCAATAACAATAAAACACCATTGTAATATATTTTATAAGCAATATTAACTAGGGTCGTCCAGAAAAGACCTTTAGTTACAAGTGTAAAATAATTTTATTACTTTTCTTATATTGCATTATATACTACATTTTTTCCCTAGCTGAGTTCTACATGCGAACCAATTCGCATATACCTCAAGAGTTCAATTATATAATGAAGGAAATATTACTCAATATTCCAAATATGGCGTGCACCCGAAACGGGGAGAACGAAGTTCAATATTATCTACTAAAGTTAAAGGAAGTTGAGAAATTATTTAATCCTTGATAGTAGCATTCAACACTGAATTCTTTCAACACTGTTCTTTTTATTATCAGTTTAATCAACTTTAATAAATTTTAAATAAAAGTTTATGTTCAAGACATGGTTTTCTTTTTTTCTTTATAATATTAAATATAGTCCAATAGGTTCTACCTTAAATCACAAATAATTTATTTACGATGAATGTATTTACCTAATTAATTAGATATAGAATATTCTTCAATATACATAACTGCGTAAACTAAAATAACAAATCATACATTTCACATCATGCATACAAAAAAGATACTTTAGAGCCTCTGTAATTAATGAATTACGGTAGGAAGAAGTCTATATGAAATAAGTAAGTTAGAATAAAAGAATGAAAACTTTATATTTTAGATGTAATATATTTGTATAATTTTTTCTCTAGCTGAGTTCTACATACGAACCGATTCGCACATATGCCTCAAGAGTTCAACTATCTGATAAAGGAAATATTTTTCAATATTCCAAATATGGCACCTGAAACTATTCAATCCCTGTTAGTGACGTTCCTCATTAATGCCTGATTTTATCTGATATTTACCTTTTAAATTAACATCAATGATTCTTAAATGGAAATAAATAATTATTTATATAATAAAAAGCCTTTTTTTTATTATAAGAAAGGTTCTTTTTATTCACAAAAGACATCATATTCACTGCTTAAATTCATATACTTTTATTTTATATAAATTAGAGATAATTGAAAACTGGCACTAATGAAGTTATTGACTTTAATGTCTTTTTATAATATTTTACATTAAGCTTTGAAAATTATTTAAAATATATTTTATCACACCAAAACTTTTGTGTTATTTACGCTCTCCGCCGGCAATGCAAGCCTATCACTTCAAATCCAGCTGGACAATGCCTCAGCGAATCTAACAAAATATCAGTGCCTGAAATTAGACTATTATTCAATTCGTCCTCATCGGCACCACCAAAACGTCTATTAACCGTCAAATTCTGCTCGCCTGAAGGAATATCCACGTCGTCATTTTTATAGTAAGGTACTAATTCTTGATCAGTTACTGTTGTGGATTGTGTGTGTGTTGTTGGATTAGTAAACATTGCATTTGCTGGGTAAGCTATTGATGTTATTGTTGACGTGTCACTAGCTACCGATGTTATCGCCGGAACCATTGGCGGCAATAGTCGTGTTGTTGATAATATTTCAAGTAGCGTCTTTGTTGGTAATTCAATTTCTGACACATCGCTTAATATAGACTTTATGGTACGAGACTCTACGGTTGGCGTAGCTTGTGAAGTGTCAACTATTAATTGAGTTTCTATTTTTGAGTTGTCATTTACTGTACCAATTTCAAATGTTTTCTTATTTGGAAGATTATTAATTTCTAATATTGTGCCGACCTTTTGACTTTGTAGTTCTGAAACGGCTGTGACAGAAATAGATTCTTCAACACTGAGCCTCGATATAGTACTTTGTTCAGCTTTTGTGAGAATTGCATTTTGTTGATGTATTCGGAATTCACTTCTTTTGAAAGCTGTCAGAGTGTTGTCTGGTGGTTTTGTTGTGACTGGTTCCAAACCATTATTAGTATCTGAAGTAATTTTATTGTTAAAAACTAATGAAGATTTCGCTTTCTTTGTACTTAAGAATATAAGCAACACTAAAATTTTCTGCATATGAAATTTGTAGAACATTTTTTATTAATTAAAAGTTTTGACTGTACGGAAAGTAAACTTACAACTAATGGCATAAATCAAAATAAATTTAGAATTCCCTCTGAATGATATTAAAAACTACAGTGTTCTATCGCTATTTATAAGCTTGATAGATCAGAAATGAATTAAGTATGAACTTCATTTAAAACTTTTTTTTTGTTTTGTATTAATTTATTTTTAATTTAAATAGTCTCAACTGTTTGAAAAAATAATTGCTCTTATAATATAAAAAATAAATATTATTTATCGTTTGCGGTAGTAGAGGCACTACTGTAAACAACTTCAAGTTTTGTTCTTGGGAATTTTATTATCTGATTTTTCCACGTTTCATATTATACTTATTGTGTTTATATTTTTATATTAAATATGAACGGAATTCAAAAGATTTCTCTCAATAAATGAATGAAAATATGGAAAAAACCGAATGAATGGATTTTTGTAATATTTAACATATTCTTATTATTATTATTTTTTATTTGTTTTGAATTAATGATTTAATGATGTTAATATTGCATTAAATTTGAAACGAATGTTTAAGCAGTACATGGTCAAGTCATATCTATATACATATATGTATATCTTGTTGAAATGATTGACAAGTTCACGATTTCTATACGACAATAAAAATAAAATTACTGGATAACGGATAGTGTTTGAGTTGTCGAATAAAAAAACTGCTTAGTCAAGACCAAAGTACGATGGTTGTGTTGAATATTTCTTTTAGATTCACTTTCTTTTTTCTTAGAATTAGAAAATTTAATCGATTTGCAATATATGTGAAATTTTGGTTTTTTTATGTATTTTGAAATATGTTGCGATTCTGAATTATCAGATGATGATTCAACATGTTAGTGGTGGAATTATATATTAATAATTCCTAAGCTTAAACCACAAAGCATTACCATGATCATGCCCAGTGCATCGCTGAGATATACTCCTCACTCATTAACCACAGAAATTTTATGACACTTAAACAAATAATAGCAAAACCATTGCATTTAAAATGAATAGTAGGTTATCGACATAAACTTTATAGATAGTTTCCTCGTCCAGAAAACAACACACTTTCATCATTAAGAATAGTTTAAAAGATCACCAAATCAACGTTTAATCAATAGAACACTTGTAAGTAATGGAATAAATGTGGAACCAAAGTACTTATCTCAAAACATTTTTTTTTTGCAAATTGAGATTAGTTAGTTCTTAGTTTTGCATCACTACTAATTGAATATCAATTTAATAAGTTAAAGATAAAAATTGTGGAAAATCAAAAATATGCATGGAAATGCCATTAAAATACATGAAATTTTTTTTAATTTTTTATTTTTAATTATTTCATTGGTTTTATATATCTTGTATATAATTTTCGATCTTAAGGTGGAAGGCTTGTTGGAAATTTAGCAGGAATTTTTTCGAAATGTTTTGGAATAAAACATCATAGTCCAATAGTCACGTTCTCTTTATTTTTCGAAATTTAAATTTGGACCAAACTCCACATCCTCGTTCATCCGGTGAGCAATCTTGTTATAGGTTTTTGCAAGAAATCCCTTTTGTTGCTCTAGAGTGGTTCCATAGAAATTTTGCTTTATAATTTTTCCAAATTATGACTTTGAACATAATCATCATTTTCAAATTTACCAAATTGATAATAGCCAAAAAAAGAAACTATAATATTTGACTAAAACGTGTACTAAAAATATGCCAACACATCCCTTCTGTAATAAATAGTATCATTTACTTTCTTTTTTAGTTCAAGTTAAATTTTTTTTTTTAAAGCTTACCAACCAGAGCCTCAATAACTTTGATATTACTATGTCTTTAAAACATTTATCCTTCTCGCAGCATAAATTTTTACAGTTTCAAGCCAGTAATCGTACACCATCGAACCATCTTTTTGAAGTTTAAAACCTTAAAAAAAGTAAATAAATTGAAACAATGAAATACTGAATACCAGTATGTTTAAGTCTTCTATATTTTGGTCTAATTGAAGAAATTAGAAAACGTAATGAAGCATTTCTTTTTTCGGCTCGAGTTTTCGTTTCTCTTGTTCTGACTGATAGCCCAACAGCAAACACCCCTTTCGCCACTACTGATCATACACATTAATTTGGTTAAAGATCCAATGATTTCATCACTATGATCTGCATAAAAGTATAACTGCGAACTGTTAACAGTTTGATTTCAACAAAGCCTGTCATTTCCTTAAACTATTTTAAAATGTTCAATCAATTATCTTGAAAATGTCCCTCATTTATACCATTTACAGAACCTATAATAAATTTTATCTCGGTTTTATAAACGAGATAAATTTTTTATCTAATTTATAAATGGTGATAATTTATAAATATGTCCTAAGTGTAAATTCTCAAAACCCCATGGGCGTGCATCATCAAGGAAAAAAATTCAAATCTTTTGAGAAACGAGTTCTTTTAATTCGAAAAAGGAGCGAATAAAAAAACTTTATGCCGAATCGGATGTGATGAAGTTAGAAGACTTTCCGTTTACAATAGATTGCTATTATATTGCTAATTATTGCTATTATATCATTTTTTTTTATCACTTTTTTGCTGTTTAATACTATGTTCAGACAGTCAAATTTTCTTAATTTCGTAAAAATGAAATTAAGTTAATTTTGAAAGTGTTCATACTGCCTAAAATTAGGTAAATCATATTTTTTTGTTTATAAATTAAATGTCAAAAATTACATGCTCCGAAAACTATTTGCATCTGGGAATTTTTAAAAGTTGATTATTATAACCATAAAGGATGGCATTCAGTAGTTTTATTAGCTTTATTTTTCACTCTATTTTAAATTAGTAACTGTTACAGTTTTTTTCCATATTCAAAATAACTTCCCGGTTTTATTAAAGTCAACTGACATATATTTAGAAATAAATATGACTTTTTCATTACCTCAACTTTATCTTTTGCTTAAAATTTATCTTACTTGTAGTTGCGTTTAAAATGTTCCTTAAGTTCAGCTTTTGGTTCAACGAAATTAAGCCGATTTTTCTTAATTTCGTTCTAACCTTAAAACTGAATTTTGTATAGAAAAAACGACTTAATTTTGCTAAAACAATGATGATAATGTTTGTGATATTAAGATTTCTCTGTACATAGCATTACTTGGAATGCAAATTAGTGCTAATATAAGTCATAATTTCATCGAAATACCTGCAAATATATACAACTTCTTCTAAACACTATGTGTCAGTCCAAAATCAAAAGAAGGGTGGGGTTTTGATCTATTAAATTTTTTTTTGTGACCAATTCGAAAATGTACTTTGAGGCCCATAGTGACAATATTATTTACTCACCATACTTCACCGTACTTTACTCCTCACGTAAGCTCACAATCTAAGTATTTGTAATCTCTTAATATTGAGGATTTCAGCGATTTAAAAATATTCAGCTCTTAGATGCGCAAGAGCTGTAGCATATCCTCTCTCTTTTTAGTAGCTAAAGTCTAGAAGATAGAAAGTCAACTCATACGAGTCATTATTGATTATAAGACAAAATAAATAATACTTACTCTGGTTCTGGCTAAGAGCAACAGTGTCAGTGCAGTCTTATTTTAGTTATAACTTTTGTGTACCTTCTAAGCTTATGAGAAAGCTCAACGTAAATGTCCACTTACTTGTCTGCGACTGTCCCTCTTAGTCTGCAACTGTCCGTTTTAGTCTGCAACTGTCCCTCTTAGTCTGCAACTGTCCCTTTTAGTCTGCAACTGTCCCTCTTAGTCTGCAACTGTCCCTTTTATTCTGCAACTGTCCCTTTTAGTTCGAAGTTCATTGTTTGGCACTTTTTTTGCTATTTAAACTGTGTCTACTTTTGAAAATCATTCTCTTTTTCTGCCTTCTCTTCAAACCCAACTCAACGCTGTTAAGCGCTTCTTTTAGGCTTTCCTCATATATTCTGTATTTGATCTCCAATAATTCACGTTTGTACTCCATATCTTTTAATTTTTCGGTCACACGATTAATTTGTGATTGTAAACTATATAAATTTTGCTTGGAAGGTATTTTAACGGCTCTATAAGGCATGTTAGCACTATTTTTAGTACACTCCTGCTTAACCTTCCAATTGAAAGACGACAAGATATTAAAACCAATAAAAACAAAATATAAATACAATACAACAATTTTTTTCCCAATATTCTGAATGTATTTTAATATTGCATACACTTATTTTTAATTAAAAAAATCAAAGGTATCTGCTTGGAAAAATAAATATTTGTATGTTCAAAAAATGTTCAAAAAGGCGAAAATATGTATTTTAATGCTAAATTCATGAAATAAAATCAGCGTTCACCATTGCAAAAAGCCTAAGGCTATTTAAAAATAAAAACTCTTTCATGTATTTAATGTATTTATTTTAATGTTTTGTATAATTTATTGTTTTTTTTTTGGCTCAGTGTTTTTTTGTATGAATTTTAAACCTTTGGCATTTATCACTGTTTCTGCAATCTTTAGCGTTGCTCTTCAGTTGGGAACTAAAGTTTCGTTTCGCATTCATTTAACATCAAACACTACTTAAATTCCTTGTAAATAAGCTCCTTTCTTGCTGAAATATTCAGGAAATGAGTGAAGAGAGCAATGGAAAACTCTAAAACGCCCAAAACACTGCTTCGAGTTATTGCCTGAAGGGCTGTTGTGTTCTTTATTGTGCTGAATACTTTTCTAGATTTTCTTCGCAACTGGACAAATTAATTACAGCTTAGCCATGAAGAACAGTCAGGAACATTAATAATTTAAGGCAATATCATAAAATGTTTCTTTTACTCAATAACAAAGCATCTTAGTATCTATTTGTATAAACTAATTTTTAATGACCCATGTTCCCACTGCTCACTTAGTGAATTACTTAAGTAACATTAAGATTTTTTCGTTTACATTGACATAAGTTACTTATTGTATGAAAAAGAATTTCATGTGTCACAAAATTCTTTAAAAGTTTTAAAAGAGTTTCTGTTTGTTTAGAAAAAATTCACTAAATAATATATAACACAAAAAATTAAGTATATAATTGATACATTAAATCATTTATGTATATATATATACATATTATATACCATTTACGTATTCATTTACGTAAAATAGATATTTTATAAAACATTCACTTTCTCAGTAAGTTTGCTTACAGCTCAGCTGTAAATTTCCCTTGTGGGAAAATTATTTCTAAGGGTTACATTTGAAAAATTTCGCCTTAAATGAGTTGATTTATTGCTAATAAGCTCATTTATATGAAAGCACTTTATATGGTAAATAATCCTCATTAGTGGCTATAATGAGCAAAATTGCCTTAATGAGACAATATGAATATACTGTAAGATAAGATTTACTAAGTAAGCAGTGAAAACAAGCTATTAGATTAGGTTGGAGTGACAGTTTTCTGCACCAAATCTTACATCCAAAGAAATAATGGCTCATTTTAATACCATGAAATATTATGAGATAATGCCTTTCACTGAATGGTGAGGTCACCCATATTTCTAGCAACATTAATTCGATTATGTCAAACAAACACGTGTTTTGAAAGGTGACAGACTATTTTCTGAATATGAACTATTTATTAAGCACTCTTTGTATATTGTTAACCACATTATTAAAGGGTTTCGAACAGTAGTGCATTGCAACAACATAATTTTTATTATTTTCAAACCATCAAACTTTTGGCTGACCCTACTTTAGCTACTTTAAGTATTGCCAAATACCCATCAACAATAGTCTACTGGAATTATTTCTTATATTTAATTATTTGTAAATTATTTTTCAAGATTGTAAGTACCTAGGGTTATAATTGTGCCCTGCCAAATCAGAACAATAGTTTCTATTAAGTAAATAGTTACTTTTCTTATAGCTGATGTTAAAATCAAATTTAATTTTGTATTTTAAAACTATAGAAAAATTTAAAAGAAAAAACTAGCAAAATAAGTGAAACTGCTTAAAAGAAAAGTTTCCAAAACTATTTTACAGCGTATGTTACTTCGAAAGTATCTCTCAGACTCATATATTAAATAAGAAATTCTAAGTATTATAATGAGTATTTTTTTTGGCAGCTATTCTACGTATATGTATAATATGTACTTAAAATAGTTCGCAAATGTGTTAAGGTAACACACACAATTTAGGTAGAAAACAATATTTCCACATACTTCCTGGTTGCGTAGTACAAAAACTTGAAGGAACAGTTCTGCGTAATGAAGCATTTCAAGTCCTTGTAAATTATTTCAAAAACAATTAAAGAAATACTTGCAACTTCAGCTGATGCATGAAAACATGCAACTTATGCGAAAAATAGATAATTTTTCATTTTCTCGACTTACGCCAAAATCGGTAACGCTGAAGTAGCACTTTTTGCACTTCCCACACACACTCAGGCACACTCACACACATCATATATATACACTTTCCATCCAAAAGCAATTTTAGCTTTGTTCATTTGAAAAGGAAAAGGAGTCATGTTAACTCCGAAAAGCCGGCTAAGAATATGTTTACTCTTTCTGCAAATATGTATATTTATTGTTTGTTTGTATATTAGTCCTTACCTGTTTACTATTCCGTACCTACTCCTCGTAAACCATATATTCTATAGTACACACATGCAGGCTTGGGCAAGGATAATACATGCATTTCAACGTTTATTCATACTTTTTCGTATTATACGATATTAAAAAATTGTTTATACTCAGTTATGCATTTAAGCAATGAATATTTTATTTTTGCTTAAGTAAGGATAACGTCTGGATGAAACTTATGGCAGCCAAAGTACGAATATTTTGAAACTGCATTGCAAAGGCTCTAGTTCTGTAGTTCTGAAGCCAAAATACACGTAAAATACAAACGCACACACACACGCACACACACACACACCAGGACATTCAGACTCCTTCCTTGCGCCTATTTACCATTTCCTGTGTGCTTGAGACTTTATGTGGATGCCTTAAAAATTGTATCTGCAAGTTTAATTTCAACTTCTATTAAACTCTGTTTGTGGCTAACCGAAATTGGATTATATACACTCAAAATGCTGCATATGCTTATAAAGTAATTGTAAATAATTTCGAAAATACTGAAAACTGATTTAAGTATCATTTTGGATACAAACTTAAATGGAGTGCATTTATTTGTTGTTATTGTACTTGCACTTCATATCTGAATGAAATCATAAAATTGATATTAAGTGATTAAAAAGACCATAAATAAAACTGCTACTAAACTGAAATTGAAATAAATTCTTGCATACAATCTTAACTTAACATACATTTGAATAAATATTATATTTTAAAATTCGATTTGAAGATACCATAAGTTAGTGAATTCGAAATCCCTACAAACTAGAAAAGACATTTCTGTGATGAAATGAATTTATTTTTAAAATCACATATTTTAAAAGTTATGCACAAATGATTACGAATTGCTTTACACACTCAATAAAATTCCGAATAATTATTCCGAATTATATTTATGATTTCAATTAAAAAATTTAGAAACAATCAAAAAACTCCAAGATAGTTGCAATATTTTAAAATTGACACAAATATGCTACAAGTATTTGCATAGCATGACTATCTGTATATGATGGCATAGCCTTAAATTATATGATTTGTATATTAGATGAAATTAGACAAGATTAAATTTTGAAAGAGCCAGGAAACATGTCACCACATTACTACATCCTTTGAGGATTATTGGGACAAACCCACTTTAGTTCCATAGGCGCGTAGAAGTTAAGAACGCCATTAAGTCCTTTGGAGAGATGTTGCCTAATTTCGTTGTAAGTGTATAGACAGTGTATAGTAGAGTATAGTGTGTAGTACCGATGTCTGAGTCTGGCGCGACCATCACAGTGACACAGAATGTGTTCTGCTATTTCCCCTTCTTCGTGACAAAGTCTGACTAAATTCGATAGATGTTTTTTCACTCTGCAATGTCCAGTGAGAAACACTGTGACAAGTCGGTTGCCTTCTCTGTTCAGCTTTAGTAGCTTTTGATCGATTCGGCATGAATTCTTTAGTTTATTTGCAGGCAATTATATTATCCTTATCAATCTGAGCTGCTTATTTCAGCCATTCATTAATTTTAAGTTTGAAAAAACTCCATGAAGGATCGCAGAATGGTTTCGGTTAAATATATTATGAGAATAATGAATAATATAATATTCTGGCTAGTTCATCGGTTTTCTCGTTTCCCTTAAATGCGCTGTATCCTGGTAACCATATAAAGTGATGAAGATCTTTGGGAAGTTGAGAGTATTCTCACACTAGTTTTAAAGTCACTCGAAGTCTCTCCTTCCATATTTTTTGGGCCATCCGTGTATCACAGATAGAATTATCCAATGAATGATGGTATGCTCTATTCTTAGTCATTTCTGTCTGATATTACTACACGGAACTTTTTACTGATTGATGGGTTTACCTGGCTTGCCAACGTACCAAAAAATTGCAGAAACGTCATAGATTTTTTGAAATATTTCGTCACTTTTCCGTTATAATATATAAATATATATTAAATATTTCAGTAACCTGCTAAATATTAAGATTCCGAATTCTTGCTCTGTTATTTCACAGTAAGCAATGTCATTGTAAAAATAGAATTTGTTATGTGGAATCTGTTCCTCATACTGATTGGAGATTGAAAATGGAAGATAGTACATTCCAAATACAAAATATAATATTTTGGAAATACTTGCTTAGTGTTTTTACTAAACCCAATTTGCTAATGTTCGATACCAAATTGGACTGATATGTCTGTGTTATAATTTACCATTTATAATGTCTGCGTTTGAGGGATCCAATCTTAACATTATTTTCTGATGTGATTTGCAAATGATGTCTTTAAGGTCTTTAGGTGATTTACCACATTAGTTTTTGGATTAAATATAGTTCAATCATTTATAAAGAGTATTAAAAATTATCTGTTGTTATTTTCACAGCCAAGAGATATGCCATTGTTACTTTCACTGCCTAGTGAAATGCCGTTGTTACTTTCACTGCCTAGTGAAATGCCGTTGTTACTTTCACTGCCTAGTGAAATATCTTTTTTTCTTTTAATGTCAATTGAAAAGGGTAAAAACAAAACCTTTACTTTTTTTATTTTTTATTTAAAAATTTTGCATTATTTTTTGTCGCAACATAATAATAAT